AGGAAAAGAAGGAACCAATATTGGTGAATGTCCACAACCAAGGCAGCATTACATACACCACAACCACCACCTCCAGAGGAAGTGGGGCGTGCCACTCAACCTGCCCACACCACCAGCCACCCTTTATTGCCAAAGGATGACAACGAAAATGAAATGTCTTCTCTAGAGTCAATCCAGGATCAAAAAATTATAAACAGTTTCAAAACATACAAAATTAATTTCAATGTCTAAAATTCAGACAGGGGTATTTTCAAAAATAATTAGCTCAAGAAGGTATAACTGAGAAGCAAAACCTCAACACCATTAAATGCATCACAGGATGTGTAGGTTAAAGACACTGTCATAAAAATGATTTTTTAAATTCAGCTGATTATTCCCATTAGGATTCTACTTGTAAAATATAAATTAAGTCAACATACTGCAAAAGTTCATTCAGATTTACTTCACTCCAGCAGAGAACACAGGACAGTTTCATCAACTTACGACATGCTCAGCTCATGATACCGTACCATGGCATGCCATCCATCCTTCCACCCTAGACCCAGAGCAAAGCTAAGAAAATGCTTAGCTCTCTCAAACCCAAGGAATGGGAAAATAGGAAACCCTAGTCACTAGGGCTAAATTAAGCCCTCTGGCTGGTGTAATTTTGTAAACTACTCTAAAATCCTATTTATAGAAATTGCTATCTGAGCAGTATCACTGACTAAATGATCAGAGTGAAGAGTGGTCACAAAAGCGAAGCAGGTTATGCAACTCACAGGAAGACGACTTTAAATTAGTGCCCAAAGGCAAGGGCACACAGAGACCTGGGAAATGACCAGATTAACCACTTGCATATACAAAACCACCACCATCTTGTTCCAGGATTGGAGTGTCAACCCAGGAAAAGCAGAGAAAAGACGGGGTTAAGCAACAACACAGTTTAACACCTGCAGAGGCACAGAAATACTCCTGAACATGGAGGAGGGAGAAATCCTTGACCAATACACAGAGCACCTAGAAGCCCACACTATTTGTACTCTCACTCTGAGTTCCCTTATGGTTCAATACTCTAGTCCCCCTCTGGGTCCCCTTCCATGTTCACACCAGCATTTCTTAATTCTCTGATACTCTGGAAGCCTCCAGCCTCCAAGCGGCTACCCTCTGCAGTGGCTCAAATCTAAACAACATACCCCGGAACCTGGAATATTGAATCAAACTTCTCATTGTTGACTTCCTACAACTGGTTAGGGGAAAAAACTCTTTTAAGACAGGACTTCCCTAGTGGTCCAGTGGCCAAGACTCCACTCTCCCAGTGCAGGGGCCTGGGTTTGATCCCTGGTCGGCAAACTAGATCTCACATGCCCCAACTAAGACCTGGCACAGCAAATAAAAATAATAAATAAATAAATCTTAAAAAAATAAAATAAAATAATAAAAAATAAAAATAAAAACTCCTAAGACCTCCTTCTTATTCTTGCCCACCCGCAAAATGAGTCTACCACCACTTGCCATTCAGCTAGGCTAGTTATGTGCCTCTTATCAAGAAGGTTATTAAAAAAAAAAGAAAGAAAAAAATGACCAACTTAAAAAGGAAGCATGGGGTAAAGGTGCTCCAACATCACACCATCATGGGACTCCTTTAGTTTGCCTTGCACAGGTCAAATGTGCAAGTCACTGTCAATTCTTTACCTGAAGTTCAGTCTAAAGCTACATTACACCCACCATGATTCTGAGTATCCAAGAGTATAGATGTTTCCCTCTACCTACCAAGTGGGTCAACAAGTTGTGCTCTCTTTCATAAGTTTACCTCTTTTTTGCCCTGTTGCTTGCCTGCCACAGAAACTCAAGCATTCCCCACTTCAGGCAGTCTAGGGGCCCTTCTTTTTAATTTTTGTTGTTGTTGTTGTTGGCCATGCCACACACCTTGTGGGATGTTAATTCCCTGACCAAGGACTGAACCCAGTCCTCTGCAGTGACGCACAGGGTCCTAACCACTGGACCACTAGGGAATTCCCTAGGGGCCCTTCTTTATATGGAGTTTCTCAAGTCCTCATCAGTGCTTGGCTAATGCAGCCTTATATCTTCATCTTTTTACTATCTCCTACCTCTTTCACTCATTGGTAGATCCCTGCTGGTACTAGCAGGTCCCTAACATCTGCTGAACTGGGTCATCTTGAACTTTCTTCATCTCCACTGCCCTGCTGACCCCTGTTCTAGTTCAGAGCCACTATCTCCCCAATGGACCACAGCAGTAACCAACCTGTCTCTAATCCAGCCCAACCTCAAGATTCACATTGGGGACACACTTCTGAAAACCCAGAGCTGACCCCAACACAGCTGTGTTTTAAGATCTCCAAGGTTTCCTGTTCTTCCATAACATCAAACTTCTCCATGTGGCCTTCTCTCTCCCACTCAACCTTCCAGAACATACAGAAAAAGAGCCCAGCCTTCTCCCCCGGCCCCTTTCCTCTGTTCATTTTTCTTCCACACAGTTGTGACCTTCTTGCCACCATTCCTCCACCAATCAAACCATTAACCCTTCTCGAAGGTCTAGCTCAAATGTAGGTCCCCCCTAAGGTCTGCCTCTCTGACCTAGGGCCCAAGCTCATTGGCTTACTTCAGTACAGTGCCCAGAGCCACCAGCGCAGGGCTCAAGAAGGCTCTGACCAACCCTAGATTTCTGGAAATGGCCCTTCAGAGCATGTTCCTAGAGTTCCATGTGGGATCACTGATCACTTTCTCATATCGTCCCAGCATTCTGCCCACCGCCAAACACCCAGGCTTGGTCTTTGCCAGAGAAGGACCCACCTGAGACCACCATTATTAGTCTGCTACAACACAAACACAGATGGGTATAGCCAAACATCCAACCAGGGTTCAAATCCTAATTCCGCCACTGTGTCACCTTGGGAACATTCCTTCATCTGTGACTCAGTTTGCTAAGCCACTGGAAAGGACTCTCAGAAGCATTCACAATAACGCATGTAGACCAGAAACTCAGAAGGCCCTTGACTGTGTTGGTGTAGATCCACCGCATCACTGATCCAGAGCTCAGGAAAAGCTGGAATGACTGTGAGGTGAAAGGACTGAACATGCTCTCATCTGCCTCAATAAGGATGAACACATGTCTATTTACTTCAGGGGTTAATATACCAGCCCTGCCCAAGAAAAACTGTGATGCCCCCAGTTCAAATGAGAAATAAGGCTGTTTAAGGTTAACAAAACAAATGCCATGCTTCTCCTTTCGTAAACAACAACCCCAGTCTAAGTGGCCCAAGCGTTCCTTCAAATTCCACCATATTCAATGTTCAAGAGATACTAGCAAATTTACAGAAGAGGTGATTTAAAGCCTTGGTCATGTTAAATATTCTGGCCCACACATTCCTGAATTGAGCCTCCTCCCCCATCACAGCTTGGAATTCCCTCTGCTCAAACTTTTCAGCCAGTCTCCTCAACTGGCTCCTTCACCCTCATCTGCCCTCTATAAAGGTTTAACTCAGAGATAGAGGTCCTTTTCCCATCCTCTCCCCCCCACTACCTATGTGGCCACCAGCAAGACCCTTCTAAACATAGGTCTGGGCCACACCACTCCACCGAGGAAAACCCTTCCCAGTCTCTGGCACCTTGAATATGAAGTCTGAACTCCTTGGCACAAGAGAAACGCCAGGGGCCCCCACCTCTCAAGCTGGAGGACTCACGGGTGCTATTTTAGACACTCATTTACATATGGTTCCCTGGGTTGGGACCTTGCTGTCCCCCAGCTAATTTCTGCTGGCCCTGCAAGCCTTGGCTCAGGAATTCCCTCTCCTCAGGCTCCCAAGAACCATCTGAGCGGGCAGACACTATCAATCATAGGTTTCCCATCCCCCACTGTCCACCATACTGACTTCCCTAAGGGCAGAACCAGGCTCTTTTATAGGGCTGGCCAAAAAGATTGTTAGGGCTTCTCTGGAAAAGTGTATCGACAAATCTCAATGAACTTTTTGGCCAACCCAATACATGGGTCCCCTGGATCTACCACAGAATCTGGTAAGTTGTGAAGCCAAGTATTTGTTAAATACATGAATGTATTTTGACAAATCAATTTTTCAGAACAGTGAAGACTGGCTCTCTGCCTCTTTCAACAAAGGTACATAGAAACACAAGCTTTCATGTTCCAACCAGATGTTTGTTGCTCAAATTGCAGTGCTTACATCTCCTTTCAAACAGTATCCTGCAGGCCTTCAACAGGCTCATCGAACTCCCTCCCCAAATCTCACTGCTCCAAGAAACGGCTCCTCAATCTCCTTTAAGCATGCAGGCCAGGAGCTCTGATTACTTGGCTCCAAGGCCAGCAAAGTTCAATTCAACTTCTCCATATTCAAACTATGCCTCCCATGTTGAACTCTTCTTTTTATTTTTTTTTTTTGAGCTCCTCTTTTAAAAAAAAAAAAGGACATTCCAAAATTACCTCTCAACAGCTAAGCATAGAACAACCTGATAAAGTTACAACAACCCATCTACACCAAACTCACAAACACCTGGTAGCACATTCAACTCTATCTGAACTGATGTCCTGTAAACACCACCTCCCTGCACAGAAGTCTGGCTTCCAAGCCAGGAATCATGTCTACTCGCTTATTTAGGGAAACAGCAGGCCGGGCTCTTAAGTTAGAACTCTAGGCTATAACCGTGCTATCCCAGGCTGCAGCTCTCACCAAGGCCAAACTTCACGGTCACCATTAAAACTCATTCTGAAGTTCACAAGTCGAAGAGCTTCTCAAGTCATAGAGATTAAAATACGCATTTTAAATCAGTAGCTAAGTTGTTATGAAATTAACTTGAAATTTACGGCAGAAGACTTCTAAACCCAGAGAGCCATTTCTCCGGAGACATTTTCCCAAATATTCCCGCAGGTGAAGATGGTTTTCCAAACACTAAGTGGAAAGGTGAAAAGGTAGCAGCAGGCTTCCAAAGAAGCCCAAGTGTGTCCGTGTGTGAAGGGGTGACCCCACGCCTCTGAGCTCAGGCTCTGGCAGTTGCGGCGCCCTTCCCCGCCTTCTGAGGGGGCTCAACGCCCCATCCTCGCGATCTGGCCAAGCTGGGAGGCGCGACCCTCGGTGGAAGCCCGGGAGGCAGTCCGCAGGCCGGCCGCACACGCCCGCTGCCGACGCGCAGGCCCCGCGTTGCCGGGAGCGCGGGCCGGGCTGAGGCCTGGCCCATCGCCGCGGCGCGCAGCCCGGGCCCGGACTATGGACGCCCCCAGCCTGCGCCTGAGGGGCCGAGAGCAAGGGACGGCTCTACCCGGGCCCCGCCGCCGCCTCACCCGCAAGGACGTCCGCGACCGTGTCCCCGCCCCGGGCCAAACAGCGAGCAGCAGCAGGTGTTCCTCGGGAGGCTCCGCCGGAGACAGAGATGGGGGCCCCGAGCTGGCAGACTCGGCGGCAGTGCACGGGCGGCGCACTCACCGAGCGCCGCCGGGCGGGCCGCGGCAGGTGCTCACTCTTTCCTGCCGCGACACGCTGCCGCCGCCGCTGGTCCCCTGGGACTCGGCGCGAAGCTCCCGCCGCCGCCGCCGCCGCCGCCGCCGCCGCCGAGCCCCAGGAGCGCGAGCACCGCACCGCAGCCTCCGCGCGAGCACGTACCGGGCGGCGAGAGGGCGCGGAGAGCGAGGGCGGGGCGCGCGACCGAAGCCTAGCAACCCCCTGACACGCGAGTGCCGCAGCCAATCCCGCGGCCAGCTCCGCGCGGCGCCGACCGGCAGTCCCCGCGACGCCCGCTTCTGCCTGCGTCGGCCGCCCCGCAGCGCGCCGCACCCGCGCACAGGCCCCGCCCCCGTCCGCGCTGCTCCGCTCATTGGCCCGCCACGCCCCCACTCGAAAGGACACGCCCCCATCCTGGAAATCCCGCCCGCGGCCAGCCCGGTCTGTCCCCGGGACACGCCTCGGCCCGTCCGGGTCGCCCGGAGAGAGCAGGACTGGGGGTGGGGGAGGGGCTCCCCACCCAACCTCAGGCATTTGGGAGTCTGAGAGACATCCAGCCTACCCGGGTGGTCAGGCTGGATAACTTGGCCCGGCCGCAACTGGCCACCCATAGACTTCCGCCTTCCTGATTTCCCTCAAACTCAGATCAGGTTATTTGTAAGCCAAGAAAACAATCAGGAAGCGTCCTCCAGATTGGAACGATGATGGCCCCGTTGCCCGACTCATATTGATGGGGAAACTGAGGCGAGGGCCGGAAGAACAGGAAGCAGACCCCTCTCCGGGGGGCCTAGCGCCCAGCAGGCGGGCGCGTCCGGGAAGCGCCTCAGGCCTGACCCTCCTCCATCCTCCTCCTCCTGCCCTGAACACCCGGAATCCGATGCCTCCTCAGGAGCCAGAAATAGCTCTGACCCGCTGGCACTGGTCACTCACTCGAGGCCCCACATTCTTTCAGGGAGTTGAGTGAATAAAGGGCTGGGAGTTACTGCTGAGGTCTGTCTCCCTTCAAGGAGAGGGTTCTAAACACTCTCTCACTCTCCCCAGGGCTTATCTAGACCCACTATCTCAAAGGCCCCAGACTCCACAGATAAGGGATGACTGGGGATGCGACTTGAGGTGGGCTCTGTTCCCCAAACCCTGTTCAGGATGGTTCCATCCCCTTCTGGGCCCGGGGCCAGCCTGGAATTCCAGGCCCGCACTCTTGTCAGCAAGTACATTCTGAACACAGAACTGGCTGCTGCCTGCCATGGATTCCTCCCAGAGAAGCCCAACAGCTCTTGGTCTCTCCTGCTTTCTCCCCCTCGATAGGGAGAATAGGAAGAAGCAAATTTCAGAGAGTAAAAAGAACGCCTTGTCTGCAACACACATACCTGTTTGCGATTCTTTATACTTAAATGCAGAGGCTCCAAACTTCATTCACTGGAAATGAACTGGAAAAAGAACTAAAAACCAGGTAAAAGTCACAAATTCCCTAATCATTCCTTGGATGTTAAGCCTAAAAAATGGATGGCCTCTCAATTCCAGATTTAAAACTCTGCTGCTTCATAAAGGCTAAAAATGCAGGAATTTATTCAGGTTTATAAACAAAATACGTTCTTTCATTCACTCCTTCAGCTTACAGAGTTTCCCTCCCACCCACAAAGACACACCAGACACTGCTTTGCAGCCTGAGATTCTGCTAGGTATTTTAGTGTCTGACTATATAATTACATATGTGTGTGTGTGTGTCTGCGTGTTCCCAAAACAAAAGACAGCAGTGAGTACAGGCCTCATCTCTCATAGCATCTACACAAGCTGCTGTGTGTGTGTGTGTGTGTGTGTGTGTGTGTGTGTGTGTTTGTTAGTCACTCAGTCATGTCCAACTCTTTGTGACCCCATGGACTGTAGCCCGCCAGGCTCCTCTGTCCATGGGATTTCCCAGGCAAGAATACTGGAGTGGGTTGCCATGCCCTTCTCCAGGGAATCTCCCTGACCCAGGGATCGAACCCGGGTCTCCTGTGTTATAGGCAGATCCTTTACCATCTGAGCCACCAGAGGAGCCCAAAGACTACTAGTTGCTCTTTGGTCCTCACTGACCAGCAATGGACCCTAGAGTAACACTCCTTCTTCATTTTTGGCACTGGTCTTGCTAGATGAGGCACCAGGCTTCAATCTGGCCTCTGGAATCCCAGCACCCCATCCATGCTCAAGCTCCCCCAGAGCTCCAACCAAGAGAAGGTCGCTGCCTTGACTAGCTGATGCCAAAAGGTGGGTTAGGCCCTTCCTAGTCCTAGGAGGAAAGGAACAACAGCCAGAGTTTGCCTGAAACCCTTACAGCCAAACCCTTCCAGTCCTTGCTTCTCCAGGTTTGGGGCTCGCTTGGTGATGCTGTGTTCCCAGGCTGGCTCTGATGCTCTTCCCTTCCCCCAGTCCTCCAGCCTTGGCAGATCCTCCCACAAGGCCAGAACAGCTGCGAGCCCTGGGCCTCATTGCTGGCTTTCTTCTTTTTTGCCTGGAGGTGGGGTTCCCCCAACCCCCTATTCCTTCAGGCCCCAAAGGTAGGAGGCCTGGACAGGCAGCCTTTTTGGGCCTAGCCAGCCTCCACTGGAGCCCAACCAGCCCACATGGAGCCCACCCCAGAGTAAAGAGGGAGGCCGACAGTCTTCATGGGCCTTTAGGTTGGGCAGGGGCTGTAAAGTAAAGGCCCTGTTACTTCCTGTAGTCCTGAGAGTTGAAGCCTTTCCCCTCCTGGGGCTCTCACAGCTCACCCTAGGGCTCAGCACAGGGTCCCCAGTGACTCACCCTTGGGAGATTATACTGGAACCCCAGCGGTGCCCAGGCCATTGGAGGTCAGGCCTGGTGTTCACAGCCAGTTGGAGAGCACAGCCAAGAGTGAGGCCCAGGGCACACCCAGGAACAGCTGCCCAAAGACCACACATGGTATGTGCCCAGAGAGAACTGATCAAGAGGTGGAGAATGAGATCCTTCAAGTGTGACAGTCAGCCGTCAACTTGCCTGGCCGTATAGCCTCCTGTGCATCCTCCACCCTCCACTTAGACCCCCAGTCAGAGGCTTCGCGAAGATTATCAGATTAAGTAAGGTTTGTCTTCCGCACTAGATTATGAACCCTTGAGGCCAGTTACGTGCACCTGCCTGATCCCAAGTTGCAATGATCGCCTAACATCACGTACGTAATACTCAACTTCTGTTTGGGAAGGTAGGAATCAGGGAGTCCTGCCGCATCTTAGTTGGCAATTATTCCCCAAAAGTCTAAGCCTTGTACAAGGCCCCAGCAAATGACCCAGTACTTACTTGGGGCTGATATGATTGAAGCAAGGGCTTTGGTTCTAGCTCAAGGGAAATCCAGCAGACACCTACCTGGACCAAACTTTCTTCTGGTCCTAGGCTTCCAGAGCTTTATTATTCTAGCATATTCCCTAGGAACCAAGGGCCAAGAGCCAGTGCCCGGCCTCAGACTTTTCCAGAGAGGGGGAGGCTGGTACTCCTGATACTCCCCCAAGGCCCCCATAGAGAAGGGAAGGGGTGAGTGCTGGCCGAGATGAGGGTGGAGGCCTGATAATACAAATGCCGGGCCTGCAGGTCTGTCAGAGGCCTAGCAGAAACAGCCAAATCAGAGCAAGGGAGGGGTCCCTTTTGTCTGGCTTTAACAGAAGGCAGATTGTCCAGCAGCTCTGGCAAAAAGAAAGGGCTGATAAGTTTATCCGGGAGAAACTGCCAGTAGGCAGTGTTTGCTGGTCACCACCAGCCTTCCCAGAATACAGTTCTTCCCCTTGTAGGACCCTCTACCACAGCACTTCCACCCGACCCCTTCATACATGTCTGGCCAGGGCCTTCCTCTAGCCAGCCAGGTAGCTGGCCTTCCAAGAACATGCAGTCCTGTGGGGACAGGAACTCCTTGGGAAGGATGAGGGTTGGCCGAATGAATAAAAGTCACCTCTTGGGACTTCCCTGGCCGTCCAGTGGTTAAGACTTTGCCTTCCAATGCAGAAAGATACCACATGCCTCCTGGCCCAAAAAACCAAAGCACAAAACAGAAGCAATATTGTAACAAATTCAATAAAGACTTAAGGGAAAAAAAAGTCACCTCTCCCCTGGATGGACACATGTCTGCTGCCCTTTCCCTTAGCCACATTCCCCTCCTTTCTGACTCAGGGATAAGATAGTCCCCCAAGGCCAACTCTGGGTGATTATTCTCAAAACGCTGGGCTTGTGGCCTTGAGCACTGGACTAAACACCAGATTAGGTCTTGTCTGGCCAAGGGGCCAGTGGAGGCAAGCAAAGCTGAGGGACCTATTTGTTAATTCTTTTCGGTCACTGACCCACTAGTCCCTAAACCCAGAGCCTTAGGGGAAGTCGCTCACATTCTTTCTTTTTTTTGTTTTGTTTTGTTTTGCCACACTGAGTGGCTTCTGGGCGGTCAGTTCCCCCACCGGGGATCGAACCTGTGCCACCACCTGCAGTGGAAGCTCAGAGTCCAAACCACTGAACCGCCAGGGGATTTCCACCATCCGCACTCTTCTTGTTCAGCCAGATTGAAAGTCCCTTCCCCACGCTTAGTCATATGTCCATGTCTGGCTCCAAGCTCAGCCAGAGTTTCTCCAGGACAGAAAGACCTCTTATTCTCAGAGGGGGCCTGTGATCTGGGCTTGTGCGTGTCATCAGCCTGGGCTCCTCTCAGTGGCCTCTCAGTCAAGAGACATTAATAGGCTACCCCACAACCATGAGTTCTGACTCTGCACTCATGGCTGATGCGTGTGTCCTTAGAACGCTGGAATGCATTGACCCTCTAGTGGACAGATAGCCTTTGCTCTCGGCTGTGTTAACACACACAGGCAGAACCGCTGGGAACCCCACCTGTGGTCTGAGAAATCCCCAGCTTTGTGGGGAAGAATAAGAGGGACTCATCCAAACATCTTGATTTTAGGGGCACTAATATATTAGGGGCACTAATAAACAGTGGGACTTCCCTGGTGGTACAGTGGATAGGATTCCGCCTGTCAATTCTGGGGACACAGGTTCAATCCCCGCTCTGGCAAGAGTCTACATGCCACGGAGCAACAAAGCCTGTGAGCCGCAACTACCAAGTCTGGGCTCTAGAGTCCATGAGCCACAACTACTGAAGCCCTTGTGCTCCACAACAAGAGAAGCTGGAGGAGAAGCTTCTCAACAATGAGAAGCCCGCACACTGTGCCCAGTAGCCCCTGCTCGGCTCAGCTAGAGAAAAGCCCACTCACAGCAACAAAGACCCAACACAACCAAAAAATACATGAGGGCAAAGAGCGCTGGGACTCTCCTCGTGGTTCAGTGGCTAAGGTTCCATGTTCCCAAAGCAAAGGGACCTGGGTTTGATCCCTGGTCAGGGAACTAGATCCCACATGGGGCAACTGAAGATCCTGCATGCCACAGCTGAAACCTGGCACAGTCAAATAAACTCAATAAATATTTTTTTTAAAAAGAGAGAGAGAGAGAATGTTAGCATATGGGCCAAATCTCCAGGTGTGTC